CCTACAGGGCATCTTGCCGGTTTACATTTATTCATGACAAAGGCAGAATATGGATATAGTGTTGCGGTGGGTACGAGCCTATTTGGTGCCAGGTCTGTGGAGGCTGCTAGTCATGTAGTGTGGCTGGGGAGCCCCGGTCTTGTCCGTGGTATACCTCCGGGAGTTCCCCGGTCCATGTGTCCGCCTGCTGGTAACGGGGGTCTTATGTCACTTGTATGGTGTCCGCCGGAGAGTTTGCAGGAGAAAAGAAGAAGAAGGGTTTGAGGAAGAAGAAGTGCTAAGGGAGAGGGAGTTGGGTTCAGCATGGAACTGGGTTAGCCAGGAGGGCCAAGGCAAGGGGTGGCGCCCAGGTACCCGCCCCGAGGTCCCCCAGGCTGTGGCGACGGCCACCTCACATCCCCCCATCCAGGTAGGTCTCACATGGCTCCCACACCTTCCTGAAAGTTTTAAGTGTACCCCAGAACTGGGCAGTAACTTGTCCATTAAATATGTGTCTTTTAGATTTGAGGTGACCAGGTCTATGGAAGGGACCTCGGGTCCCAGCCAGGATTGAGCTATGGCTCTTCTAGCAGCCAGTGCGATTTTGTGGATTTGTTTTTGTTCTGTTCTAGTCCAGTCGTCTAGTGGCTGAGACAGTAATAGTACCCATGGGTTGAGTGTCAGGGGTCTCTGGAAAACAGCCGTTATGAGGTCTGAGACCTTACCCCACAGCGTTTGTATTCGGGGGCAGTCCCACCACATGTGTTTGTATGTGTCTCTTTGTCCACAGAGTCTCCAACATTGGTCTGTCGTTGTTTTGTGCATGTGATAGAGCTGGACCAGGGTGGTGTACCATCTGAACATCGTTTTGTACGATTGTTCTTGCATCGTGACACACAGCGAGGTCCACCCGTTGACCTCCCATATGTCCCGCCAATCAGTCCCCTCCAACGTCTCCCCTAGGTCTATTTCCCACTGGTCGGTGTATCTCAAGCCCCCCCATTCTGTAGTGTTGGAGCAAAGGTGAGAGTATAGCCTAGTGATGAGGCCCTTTTGATATGTTTCTGCATCGCAAATCTTTTCAAAGAATGTTAGCTATGTGCGGGCTGCTTTTTTAACATTTGGGGTTTGAGAAAGTCCCTAACCTGTAGGTATCGAAAGTAGTCAGAGGTTTTTAGATTTGCGTTAAGTTTGAGTTCGTCGTATGCAATGATGTTGTCACCTATGTATAGGTGGTGTAATCTTGGGAGCCCTGCGTACTCTAGCCCCTTGAAGTTTCTAGGTCTCATTCCAGGTAAGAATGCTCTGTTACATAGCATGGGCGTCATGGGAGAGTGTGGTGTCTTGAGGTTGTATTTTGTGGCACATTTGTCCCAGACCCAGAGGGAGGCCAACACCTCTGGACATTCAGTTTGTAAGAACGTCCTCTGGTCTCTGGGTGTCCAGATATAAAATTGGGAATAAAAGGGAATCATGACATGTCACACATGTCATGTGTCCTTAAGGGGTTAAAGCTACTGAGGACAACCTCCAGGGAGTTTGTATTAAGCAAGACACTGTCCTAAGTACAGGAGCTAACCAAAACCTGCCCTCTTCTAACTTCCAAGGTACAACAACTAGAGGATATAGTACAGCAACAAACATGAGTGCAAGACATACCAAATACTGTAGACTAAGGAGAACTTCCCCAGTTTATCAGACACTTGTTTTCTGCTATGCAGCCACCCATGCAGTTGAGGGGGCTTACTTTAGATGGGCATTAACATCTCACTAGACAACCAACTGCTCAACTCATTGTGCCAAGATGTAACAAGCTTCAGGTCAAGCAGTGACAAAGACCTTTATCTTAATGCAGTCAAAGAACATTATTTTAGTGCAACATTCTATCAACTTTTTTACGATCTCTGTCACTCCATTTTACAGTGGTGTGAGGCTCTCAAAATGGTGACTAAACAGCTTAAGGATGCAGCGATACCACATAAATGGGGAAGAACCTAAATATTGATAGTCAACAGCAGAGAATGAAGACACAAGCTGACATCTACATCGAAGGCTTATGACTTTTGCAAGCCCTGGAAGTTCCTGCTTCATTGACAAAGGAGACACAGTCATCACTCACCCGGGACATTGACAATATTCTAGTTTTTGCTTCCAGCTTTTCATCTGCATCTGGCTAAGGATGAGCTAAGAATTTTTATTTCCTATTGTGCTTCTCAATTTATTTTTTTGTGTTTTCTGCTTGTTTGCCTTACACTTATTACTCTCCCTAGAACCTAATACTAGTCTGTCGAAGTTTCCTGAACCCTCATTTACTTAAAACTCCCCTCCCCCATCAGTCAGAGCATTTACCATAATGCTATTTTATGAATCCAAACCTCTTTAAACACGAAAGCACCTTACTAGCTTTTGTAACAACTGACCAGAATTTCAAAGGGTTCCGTAGTTTGTGATCTATAATTGTACTTCCATAGAGAAACTATATCATGTTCTTACTGTATATTCTTACCTAATTTTGAGTCATTTGAATCAACAAATGACTTTCAATGTCCTCTTCAAGATTATTTATAAATAAATTAAAGAGAAGTGGACCAAGGACCGAACCTTGAGGCACTCAACTTACCACTTCTGTCCAAAATGCAAAACATATAACATGTAACCATCTATGTAACATGGATTTGCCATATATTCTTTTTCCCTATATACAGAAGAAAAATAATTATTTAGAATTTCACCCTTGTCCTGATCTTACTTGATTAACTACCCATTTTACTTTCCAATGGACTAAACTTTTACTCAATCTTTTTGGCATTAATGTATTTTTTTTTAAAAAACTTTTTGGGGGTTGGTCTTGTTCTTTTTGGCTATGAACTTCTCATTTTCAAGTTTAGCCTATCTAATCACTCTTTTGCAAGCCCTATTAGCATTCTTATATTTATTATAGGATGCAATTGACCCCTTGATTTAAATGTTTTGAATGGCCTTTTCTTATCTTTTATCATTTCAATGACCCTTGCACTAAGCCACATTGGGTTTAATTTGCTTTCCCCAATGGTATATATTGAGAAATTGTAGAATTTGTTTAAAGACCTTCCATTTATCTTCTGTGCTTTTGCCAGTGATTATTTCCTGCCAGTCAATTCATTGTTCAGATGTCCTTATCCTTTTGAATTTAGTGCTCCCTAACTTGAATGTTTGAAAACAAATCAACATTATTAGTTGTGACAAGATCAAGGTAATCATCTCTTGTAGTCGGTGCTTCTACTAATTAAGCAATGAAGCTAAATGAAGAATCATTTATTAGGCTCAAAAATCGGTTTCGCTTAACTGAACTACTGGTCCCTCTGGCCCAATCAATGTCTGGATAATTTGTGAATAATCTCCCATGAATAACAAATTACCGAGCTGTGAAGCCTTATTAATTTGCGATAGTAGTTGCTGTTCCCAATCAGTACTAATGTTTTGGGGCTTGTAATATATTCCTATATATGATAATATTTCTACCCATAAGACTTGTTCCCTATAGCAAAGGATTCTTTTATTAAAAGAGTATATAGTGTAATCTGCAGCTCTGATCACATCGACCGGACAGTTTGCTGTCTCCTGGGTGCTGACATAGTGGAGTGATTATTGGGAAAGGTTGGGAATGACATGACAGTCATGATCCATATTGGTACCAATGAAGAAGTTAGAGGACCTTAAAGAATGAGTTCAGGGAATTTGGGAGCAAACTTAAGAAGAGGACCTCCAATATGGTATTTTTCGAGATATTACCTGTGATGTGTGCTACAGTGGAAAGGCAGTGGGAGATTAGAGGGGTCAATAGGTGGCTAAAGTCTTGGGGTAGGAAGGAGGGTTTGGGTTTTTAGAGCTCGGAGCTGATTTTGCACTTGGGTACAATGTTTATGGCTATGATTGACAGCTCCTGAATGGAAGATGGTCTTTGCTGGTGCTGGGGTAGAGGATGGCTAGAAGTTTTGAAGAGGCTTTAAACTATGAGTAGGGTAGAGGGTCAAAGAGGGGTAAATGTGGTAGATAGTATAGAAAAGAGAGTGAATTTAGCTGAAATCAAGGAGAGTGGAAATGAACGTAGTTGTAATATTAGCAGACATATGGTATTAATTAAATGTTGTTCAAATAAAGTTCAAGAAATAAATGGTAACTTTAAATGTCTGCTTGCGGCTGCAAGAAGTTCATGTGGAAAAGTGGAGGAACTTACTGGCATACAAGGAACACTTGAGGGATGTGGGATGAAACACTTGATTGTGCTATTATTTTAAATGGATATGCATTATTTAGAAATAATACAAAAAGGGGACAGGTATGTCTTATATTAAACCTGATTTTGTAGACAATATATTTTTTCTAGGCGACTTCCAAAGTCATCTTCTGGAGACAAATCATAGCTTAAAGAACTAAATTTTACTCTGGCTGGGAAAGCAAATGTACATTTTTTTTTTTTTTTAACAACTTCCTCTCAAACTTCAATAGAAAATACCTATTAGACCATCTTCTCCCCTCCACAAAGGAACGAATTCTGCAGGACAAGTGCTTTCAATATTTCTTGTTTGGGTCTATCAATAGTGCCTTAGAACCCACCTGACTACTACAAATCAATTTATATCACTCATATGGTTTATAAGTGGGAGAAGTGAATGAAACCAAATATGGATTCTCACAGACTTTATTAACTAAATATTAAATTGTGTTAATTAGCAAGAGATTGATACATTTTATGACAAAATTGTCATGTAGGAAAATAGGCATTTGGAGAGGTTTTCCCCAATTTGGATATTTTCTGCAAATTTATAATTCTCTGCAGATATCCCCAATGCCAGGTATAGTTCATAAAAAGGTTTTATCAACCAAGTTTAGGAACTTCACAAGGGAAATGTAAAGTGTTGTCTCCCAATATACATATTTTCCAAGTGCGCTATATTCTGATGAAAGTGCATTTACAAAGGATGCAGAAAAAGTATGTATTTTATTAAATTTTTGTTTTTCAATAATAAAACAATATTTAACTGAATTCATTTATTGCATATATATAAAAATAAAAAAATAATTATGCATAAACACATACTCAGTATACCATTAAAAAGTATTGATTTCTGACAGTGCTATTCACCATAATGAGAATTTAAAGTGAATTTCTTATTTAAAGTTACCAAACTGGAATCACAGCTGAATTAGAGAATTTTTCCAATTCAGCTCTTTTGGCATTAAATTTGAAACTCAACCTTAAATTTGAAATTCTTGATTTACTAAATAACTCTGTGAAGTATTACTTAGCAGCAAAGTCTGTGAATTGAAAAATGTAAAAGGTGTGTTAGTAACTTGACTAAGTGCTTTAAAATTATTTAAGTGCATATAAGAAGGCATTGATTGCTAAATTTGTACAGTTTATTCATTCATACATAAAATATATACATATAAATATACAAATATATACATATTATTTGAAGACAATTATAAAAAAATTTTCAAAACTGTGCACCCCCTCTCTGAAATGCAGTCACACTTTAGTCAAATATCTGTAATTCTAGCTGCATCGATATCATATTTATGAGCGGATTGTTCCTTACTATATGAAACTTTAGCCTCCTAGACAGTAATTATTACACTGCACTGAGCAAGGCTGTATGTAAATTATAATAATGATATAATGATAGTTTCACTTAAGGCTGGTATTTTCCCAAGAGTGTAGTTACTCATCTCTGCTCTGCTTAGCATTATTATACTGCTTCTGCAAAATTACATTTACAGCAATGGGGATGTTCTGTGTTTTGACGAGCAATAGCTGGTATTATTAATAATACAATAGCTTGCATTATTATGGAATTGTTACATATCCTTTGCAATGTGTTTTAAATATTTAGTGCTGTTCTCGTTCTTTTTTTTTCTCTCCATACTTTCTTAATTATGTTTTCTGTTGCTGTGCTTTTTGGTTGTTACTCTAAAAGCATACAGCAATGATTTCAGACATACGACACTGAAGTGTTTTAAGCCTTGGATCTTGTTTTCTAAGCTAGGAAAAACCTGGCTTTTGATTGGCTGGCTGGGCTTTGCTTCCTATCTGCTATATCTCATGTACACTAGTATGAATGAGGATACTTTCTTTGTATGAAAAAGGCAGTATTAGTATCACATCATGATTTGCTTAGGGTCATACTGGATCAACATTCTGAAGACAATGTATGGTCTGCCGGCACAGTGGACAGCTGCTATTTTGTTCATGCACCTTCAGTGCACAGGATTTGCAGAAACAGCGGTGCCCGCAGGGCACTAACATAGTGTCTGACGTGCTGTCCTGACATATCACACAGTATGGGTCATCTTCCAGGTACAAGGGAAAATTTAATGACTCTGAATGGGAAGTCATATTAGAATTGCTTGGACTGGAACCGCAGGTGTATGAAGATCCCTTTGGAGTTCTGCAAACAGTTTGCGATTGTGAAACTAGAGGAAATAAAAAATAAAATAAGAACCCTAAACACACTTATTGCATGGTTTTCACAATCTTATATGTTTAGAATGAGGGTATACAACTTTATAAAACTTTGCCAGTAATAGAATAGACTACACTGAGACAAGACATCTCAACAGATTGCAGACTATATATGACAAGATGTGCGAGTGATGAATAGGGCTAGCCCATAAGAGGTGCAGATGAGCAAAGGAACCAATATTCAGCCCTGGCATACAAAGGCAGAGCAGCCCAATACAGGAGGGCCCAGAGAGGGCTTGTGTTGTGTCATCACCAATTACAAGCACACTTCCCAAAGAGGGCATGTCAATGTGATGTGCACTGCCCTACTGAAGAACTCTGGCATAAGGAAAATGCCCTGTGGTTGTTTAGAACAGTGAAAGTGAATGTAATGACATGCTTGTTCTGCGTTTTCTGGTGACTTGTCTCAAGTGTTTCCATTAGTGGAATATCAGAAGACAAAAGAGGGATGGGTATTGTGTCTTTGTGTGTATAGGGAGGCCATCTGTGATTTTGTATGCATTTGGAGGCTGCTTGTTGTGTTTTGTGTGGGTAGACTATCTGTTGTGTTGTGTAGGTTTGTGTGTGGGAAGGCTGTTTGCAAGGTATTATGGTTGTGGGGTAGGTTAGTGCATGGAGGTATTCTCTTTGTTGGGTTGCATGTAAGGGGGAGGCTGCTTGTGTTGTGCGTTGTGATTAGTTTTTGCATTGTAGTTTGTGTGGAGTGGCCTGTTCGTGATATAGTGTGTGGAGAGGGGTTGTAGTGTGTTTTAAGGGGGGATCGAAGCTGTAGTGTATATGTTTGTGGAATAAAGTGGCAACACTTTCAATATAGTAGAAGGAGCAGAGAACTTGGTCTGTACCCAAAGAAAGTGTAAACTGAGTTCTCCATCCACCTACTCAGCATCATGTTCACCTGGCCAGTATGGGAGGTCTTTTATCTCCTCACCAGCAATAAAGCTCCCTCTCTAGGTTCAATCCCTTAACTCCCGTGTCGGCCTTGGCCCATGGAAATCACCACCAACAGGGCATTTGCCTGGTTTGTCTGATGGCCAGCCCAGGCCTTCTTTCAGGCATTAGAAATGCAGTATATTCAAGTGCAAAACTCCCCCAAAATAAGTGAGAATCTGTATGAATAGGTAGGTGTGTGCTTGTGCTTGTATTTGTGTTGCAAATGTCTGTGAATACATACATATATATATATATGTGGATAACTCTGTATGTTTATATGTGATCGGTGAATTGTGAGCAGTTAGGACATGTGTGGTGATGTTGGTATGCAGTGGTGAAGTCAGCTTTTTTGTCCTGAACCTAGGCAGTAAAATTTCTTGGTCCAGCCCTGGGTGTAGCAGTTATGTATAGGGAAGATATTTGTCCCTTTGCCAAGATTGACTATGAGAGATAAAATGCGTCCAGAAGCAGCTGGCAGATAACCACTGAATAGAAAGAGGTGTGGATCTGGAAGATGAATTAAGGTTTAGCTGCACCCATATGACCCATAAAAAAGCAGGATAATTAAAAGTTTGATAATCCTTAAACATGGGCATATACTACCTCTGTACTTAAATCTTCTGTGCTCTGTTTTGTTTAAACGTCAATTCTTTGTAACTTATAATAACCTTCTATTGAATATAGAAGTATGATTATGTTACTGACCTTTGTTTGTCACACATGTGCACGGGCATGGCAGCTTCCCTTTACTGGAATCTATAACAGAAAAGCAAGACATATAACAGGCTGTAGCATCTGCAGGGTGGTGTTCAATTAACCTATGTAACTTGTAAAGTGCAAGGTACATCTGTTGGAACAATGCACATGCATGATGACATTGTTTAATGTGTTCAGATTTTTAACTGATTTTGTCACAGAAGCGATCTTTACAATAAGACGATAAACAGTTTGATCATCCTATTTAAAAAACAAACAAAAAAAAAAAAACACACACACATCAAACCACAAACTCACAACCATTTTTTCTCTTATTTCTAAAATTATCTGCATGGATAGTTTATTGGAGATATCAGTTCTTGAAAGCCCAACAACTTTACGTAACAATTTGCTGACTGAAGGGTCAAAATATTTTGTTTCATAATGTATAGCTGGAATATCTAAAGGAGTGAATGTTTTAATCAATGGATTTTAGGAAAAGACAACTTACCAATCAATTGAACAGCCTTAGTCTGACCATACACATCCACTATGGCCCAAAGTGGCATATTTCTGGGCAGGCCATCAAAGAGCACTATTGGCTGTGGGTCTTCCTTTCTCTGGCAGAGAGCTTGGCCTTTTCTGTTCACCCACAATGAAATCAGGGCACCAATTTTGGAAAGTTCTTCTGGGATGCATATGGCCCAGTAACCATTCAGAATGGTAAGGTTAGGACAAGCAAATGGTGGTAGTGCAGCTGGGTTCAGTGAGTCGGGGTCCACAGAGGTAAAACCCAGTCGTAGTCCTCCGTACCAGCGTGGGTCATCTTTCACGATTCTTACCCAGAGTTTTTCCTGAGGTCGCAAAGGCCGGTCTGAGAAAAGCAAGCCATTTTGGAAGCTGTGGCAACGTTCTGCATGATGGAGGCATCTGCCCCAAGATATATGTTGGCCTCTCACCCGTGGGTTGAAAGAAATGCCTGTGAAAATAGAAGATACAATTAGAGGAACCAGCAAGATGCTTTGTATTCTAAAAATGCAGTTTGTAATAGATATATACAGCATTACTCAATAACTCTGTACTGGTATGTATGACAGCCATCAGAATTGTGTTTTGTATCCTGCCCAACATATATATAATGGCTCATTATGTTTACAACAGTCTTTAAGGATCTTTAATTTACTGATAGTTACAGACTTTTACACAAATGCGTTTCAACTAGAATGGGGGCTTTTCATTTGAGCCCGATGAAATCAATCCGTCGTATCGTTGACGAAGACTCCACAGGTAACCCCTGGGCAGGTGAATGCTCTTGGACACAGATTAAAAAGGCATTTGATACATGTGTCCCAGCTGAAAAGTATGAGTGCTTCGAATCAGACTCTGACAGTCAGCAAAGGTACAGGACACTGATATCTGCTTTTTTTTATATGAGCGGATGCATATGAAGGAGTCATTTTGGCAGCAATAGCTTGCACTCGTGAGGAATACTGTAATCCTGCCATGCAAGACTGCCTGCTGCCGCTGTGGAAATCTGGACTTTATACATCCTGTCATAAATAAATCAAGCCATTGTGTGTTCATATAATGTGTTCTGTGAAGTACAGTGAAATAAAAAAAAAAGAGCTGATAGTGAGACAAGCCAAGATTAAACGACACAGAGTTTACTAGATAAGGCAAACGGTGTATATGCAACAATGAAGGCAGGTGCAAATGGCAATCGACTGTTAAGTAAATAGAAAACAGGAAAGATAAAACATATTAAGAAGGGAGGGTCAGCAGCTGTATTTAGAAAAACAATTGTAGATCAGTGGATTAAAGGGACTATCCACTGCCTCCAAAAAGTCACTATTTAGTAGATATAACCCAAATGAAAAAATGCATTCATTTAATTGTGCATTTTTCATTGGAATATAACGAAAAACAACTTGCAGAAGCTGCACTTCTCTAGTTTTCAGCCTTTTCAAGCCCTCCCCTTCTAGCTCTGCCCAGACTCACTGGCGTACATTCCTCGGTCGCAGGGGTCGCAGCTGCGACCAGGCCTATCCCACCAGGGGGCCCGGCTGCCCTGCGACCCAGGTATGTACGCCAGTTTGCTCCAGGAGTTGGCCACCTCAGGGCCCCCCGAGGCTGGCAGGGGTGTCACCGGGCTCGTGGGCATGTGTGGGAGCATTCTCCCCTGAGCGCTCTCTGCCCAGATCCCTCGCGCGAACCGCAGTGATGCCGGAGCCAGAATATGACATAGCTCCGGCATCAGTAAGCGGTGCGCGAGGGAGCTGAATAGGAGGATCAGTGCTCCCTCGCCACCTGCAGGACCGGCCACCCAGCAGCCCCACTGGACCCCAGGGAAATCTGGAATCCCCTCAGCACTCCCAAAAGGTAGTGTGTATGTGTGTTAGTTTTTGTGTGTCACTGTGTGTGTGTGTGTGTGTGTGTGTGTTACTGTGGGTGTGTGTCTGTTACTGAGTGTTAGTTGTGTGTGTCTGTTATTGAGTGTGTGTCTGCTAGTGAGTGTCAGTGAGTGTGTTAGTTTTTGTAAATGTGTGTTACTGTATGTGTATGTGTCTGTTACGGTGTGTGTTAGTTTGTGTGTCTGCTAGTGAGTTTCAGTGTGTGTGTGTTAGTTTGTATGTCAGTGAGTGTGTCAGTGTCAGTGAGTTTGTTACTGTGTGTGTCTGTTACTGAGTGTGTTAGTTTGTGTGTGTCTGTTAGTGAGTGTGTGTTTTGTAAGTGAGTGTGTATGTGTATCTGTCTGTCAGTAAGTGTGTGTGTATGTATGTCTGTCACTGAGTGTGTGTCTGTCAGTAAATGTGTGTGTCTGCTAGCTAGTGTGTATGCGTCTGTTCGTGAGAGTGTGTGTGGTTAAAACCCCTTCAGCACTTACCTTTTCCAGCGCCGGGGTCCCTTGGCGCTGGGTATCTCTCCGCCCCGATCCGCCTCTCAGTTCCAAATGCGCATGCACGGCATTCAAACCGCCCATAGGAAAGCATTACTCAATGCTTTCCTATCGACGTCCAGTGTCTTCTCACTGTGATTTTCACAGTGAGAATTGCGGAAGCGCCTCTAGCGGCTGTCAGTGAGACAGCTACTAGAGGCTGGATTAACCCTCAGAGAAACTGCTATGTTTTCAGCTGCAGGATTAAAACTAGAGGGACCTGGCACCCAGACCACTTCATTGTGCTGAAGTGATCTGAGTGCCTGTAGTGGTCCTTTAAGTGTATGTGTATCTGCATGCACTGGTGTACATACCGCGGTCGCAGCACTGCAACCAGGTGCCCGCCGCCATTGGGGGGATGCGGGGGGTGGAGCCACGGATCGATTTTTGCACCGGGGCCCCATGGATCATGTGTACGCCACTGCCCAGACTTACTGTGGCTGTCCAATCACAAACTTCCCAATGCAGCTCAATGAGAAGACTTTTGGTACTCTGGAGTGCCATAAAAACAATGGCACTATAACCACTACAGAACAATGTAGTGGTCAAGGTCCATGTAATATTACTTTAAATTAAAAATTGTTATGTACAATGATACTGTACTCTAACTGATACTGTATTTTTATTTATCGTTTTTAAGTAAGGGTCATACACCCAATTAAAAAAATAACATTGCCTTCTGTCTATGGTTAGCATTGCCAGCAAAGACAGATGTCAAAGTTCCTCACCTTCAAAGCCACATTAAAAACAACTTTTCAATGAAGGATTATCTTAATAAATACAAATATTTGTATGTTTTGTTTTTTATGAAAATGGACTTCCTCAAAAATATTGTATGTTATAATTATTGTGAAAAGAGTCATAAACACCACTTCCTCTTTCTGGTGATTCTGTTTGTTTCCTGTTAACCCTGTACACTCTACACGTTCAGGACCCCCTACTGTAATATATTTATATGTATTTCACTGAGGTACAATGTCTGCATAATTATATCACTTGATGTACTTTCCCTGTTCTGTGATCAAACCAGCAATGTCATAAATTTAACAACCATATACTGAAGAATGATTGCACTTATTGTACCTCGTCTTCTAATGTGAACCTGTAAGGTGTCACTATATTATATGCAACTCTCCTATGAAACAATGTAAGTTGTAAAGTGCTAAACACCTGTTAGCACTATGTTAATAAAATATTCACACCCACTGCAATGTAATCTGTACAGCGGTAGGTAAAACATAACTGTAACCTGTACACTGACAATAATTCCTGTCTGCATTCTATAAAGAAACTATAGACTCCTATAATATGCACCTACTGCACCTTACACAGGTATAAACTAAGTGTAAGGATAGGAGTTAGCCACAAAATGAAAGGAATCTCTAATCATAGGTCAATTTAAAAACTTAATACATTCATGGTCTTTGTATATTCCAAATCTGCAGAAATTCATCTAATGATGTAAAACACAAAATCTAAACTGATAACACAAATCCAGCAAAATTAGCACCTACATTTTCAAATAACATCTTTGGTCCATGCTGCAACCAGAATTTAGCAGGTTAAAGACCAGATGTTAGGTAACCCCTTCCATACCAAGACATGCCAGTCTTATCATCTGATGGGTGATAAGGGGTTAATACGTCCCATACTGTAAACTGCTGCAAGGTGCTTACAGTTCAGAGCATTCTGTGCACCTCAGGAAAACTTACCTTCTGGCTCTGAGCTCAAACACACTCCCATGTTGGCTGCTTGTAGTAATGTATTAAATGATACATGTGTCTGTGTTTATATCAGCCTCCTGGGCGGAGATACTGGGACATTCCCTTTATTAAGCCAACCCTTTTTCCCCTTTAGGAAAGTCCCGAATTGAATGAGGAAGCACGTGATAAAAAAATGTAAAAATGAAAGTATGATAAGCTGATAACTATGTCAGACGTTAAGAGAACATGTTTCACAATTGGAATGTCAATGGCAATGGGAGATGGATAGCGCTACGTGTATAGTATATAGAAAACATAAGAAGAAGGTGGGGTCAAACCCCCCAGCTAGCTTAAATTCAGATTATAGGACTGTTAAAATAAAACTGTACTGTGGGCAATGGGTTGATAAAATGTATACACCTTCAAATAAAAACTACAAATGCCCCAGACATTGCCTCATTAAAGGGGAACTGTCCTTCTCTGGAATTTACGTAAATGATTAAAACATGGAAAATTACCTATAATTTGTGTTAACTTTTTTTTCTTTATGTGATGCTTTGCTTTTATTTAAATGTATATTGGAGAGTTAGCAAATGACATGACAATTCAGTTCAGAGGGTAAACATTACAAAGGATCAAAAGGGCAATGAGGTTTCATTTCTCCACTTCTTGGAATGGCTTTCTCTATGCAGACTGCCAAACAGAGCCAGGGTGGGAGCATCCGTGCAAATGTTCCCCCTGAGAATCCGGGGGGATTTACAATTTGCTGGCAGCAGGGGCTTATTAAGGGGTCACCCCATTCCATCCCCAATTGCAAGAAATTGTTGAGGGGTATTTAAATTAATTGGTCAGGCAGGAATCAGTCATCAGTGTCATGGCAGAAGCTGCATGCCTAGACATGTGTAGTAGTTATTTCTCAGTATATGCATACGATACGTGTAACTTTGTGCATCTGTATTTCTGTGAATATGTGTGTTTCCCCCCTTTTATCATACGTCACAAAATCCACAAAATTCCCTGGTTTGGGCTTTGAATTCACCCCTTCTCTCAGATGTAAAGGACAGAGGTTGTAACAATGATTTACAGGAAGCTAAATTGGAGGATAAAGGATACATTTCTACATTTAATTAGGTATTTTACACCATGCATATACATATTTGTTAAATGTAGGGATAATTAAATAATATAAAAAAATAAAAACCTGGAGGTGACAGTTTCACTTTAATTTCGGCTATTGTCACTGGGTATTGATAAATTAATACTTCTACCCTAATAACCCCATCTTAATTAAGTTGTTATGAAGGCAAGTGTCTGGTTTTATATGCTTAAATAATAGAACAGAAAACAAATGCAAAATGAAACAAAACATAATGCTTGAGCTAGTGAAGTGACAGTTCGCTGTCCCCAATCTTTCTTCACTAGTGATGTCCCGAACGGTTCGCCGAATGGCGAACATAAACATAAACTTTGACCCTGTACCACAGTCAGCAGACACATTCCAGCCAATCAGCAGCAGACCCTCCCTCCCAGACCCTCCAACCTCCTGGACAGCATCCATTTTACATTCATTGTGAAGCTGCATTCTTAGTGAGCTGTCCAGGAGGTGGGAGGGTCTGGGAGGGAGGGTCTGCTGCTGATTGGCTGGAATGTGTCTGCTGACTGTGAGGTACAGGGTCAACGTTTATGTTTGCCGTCCGTGGCGAACCGTTCGGCGAACCGTTCGGGACATCACTATTCTTCACCTTTGGGTACAAAAGGTGCTGTTTGTTCTTGATTCCAAGTATTAGAAGTTGAGGGAGTCGGAGAGATCCCCACCGCTTGGAGGAAGGGAGCAGCATCGTTCAATGAGGTAAGTCTTAGAGTATTTAGCTTTTTAAGAACCGTAAAGGATCTTGGGAAAGTCCATCAGTACTCTACTCCAGCCTCACGTAATTGACTTGTGACATCCCAAGGACCTTTGCAAAGTATTTCTTGTAAAATCCTGGAAAGAATGCAAGCTGAGAGGATTCAAAGTCATATGGGTTTTTTCTCCGCATTGCAGAGAGGATGCGATTCTTGTCTGTCAATGAGTGACACCGGATTATGATGTCCCAGGAAGCCACAGTCGGAGCCTACCTTGGTTTATTAATTCTTTAGAAGACATCAAACTGAATCTTTTACATCTTAGTATGTGGCAAGATCGTGACTGTGAGACATCGCAAAATGTTGTATATTTTGTTTCAGTACTCGTACCTCTTGTTTTTTGTCAGAGATATCTTTCTCTGAGCATAACAAATTATAGTGAGCGCTCAAACCAAATCTGGGTAATAGTATAATAAAGAAGTGCTTGGTGCTTTAAGGGAAAATCTGATCCCCCACCAGATCCAAAGGCTCACTAGAAAATAACCACAAGAACACCAGAATAGATCTGCATATAAAAAAAAGAAGTCATTTTTACAGTGGATAAGAATAGATTGCATAAAGAAAGTGTAGATAACAGCACATGCATGTAAACATCAAATAACATACCAATAACCACTATAGTAGATATTCCCTCTGAGGAAGGCTAAGATGTCAAAACGTTGGAGTTTATCTCTCCTGCCCTTGGTCAGAATGCCTGTTTTATTATGGGTTTATGGGTTTCTATTTTGAGCACTTATTACTGCATATGTAGTGGTTATTGGTATGTTATTTGAGGTTTACATGACTGTACTGTTACCTGCACTTTCTTTATACAATCTATATCCACTGTATAAATAAAAACTTTTTTTATATGCAGATCTATTCTGGTGTACTTGTGGTTATTTTCTACATATCTTCCTCTGAGGCCTGTGTGTGCAGTCACCACCTGTGTTCTGACAACATCGCGGTCTGCAGCGAACATCTGTCTCAAATCCCAGAGGAATTTAGAGAAGAATTGGTCTTGCCATCTTGGGGGCCACAGGGTGTTGCAGCAAGGCTCCAATGTCCTGGGAGTCTTTCCTCACTCCCAGCTGTGGCCTCTGGGATCACCATCCCATGCTGTTTTTGGAGGTGAGCAGCATCATGGCAGACATAAGGGCGGCAGGGATACATGGCACGTTACAGGGTATGCTCCGACAACATCTTTGTTCTCATATGCTCTACATACTTCATGCTCACCTTGAGATGTTAGCACTCTCAGAACCTTTTCCAGACAAAGCCCATCATTAATTCAAGCACAAATAAACTATTTCAGATCCATTTTATAGTACAACAATCTCTTTTCAGGGACAGTGATACTATATGGTGCCTAAACAAAAAGAAGCTCAACACAAAAAGTGGAATACCCTTATTTCCACAATCATACTAAAATACTGGAAAAAATATGGTATACAATATACACCAAACTGGTGGAGCGCTATATAAATATAAAAAAGTGGAGGGGTCCACTTACCCCATATATACACATTATATTGTATACCATATTTTTTTTCCAGTATCCAGGATCCATCCTACAGTAACAATAACTAACACGGTGCTTAACTCCATTTGAATCTCATTGCCTTCAGGACCATTCGGCACCAAAAGGTATTTTCGTGATCTATACCATGCTGGTAGAGAAGTGATACCCGTTAGCTCTTGTATTGGTAGGTGGGAGGAGGATCTCTGAGCCACCATCTCAAAAGATGAATAAAATAAAATGCTACATGTGATACAGAAGACGCAGGGTTCAACCAGCATACAGGAAACTCCTACAAGCATTACTCTAGATGGTATCAAACCCCTTGCATACTCCATGCCTGCAGACCCTCAATCTCGTATATCTGCTTTAGAGGTGGGTGACCTATGACACATCTGGTGGAATTGTGCATTGATACAGCAGCACTCATCTGCAATAGATGCAGTTATTCAGAAACTCTCTCGTGAGCACCCCTTATTTGAACTGGCCTCCTTTCTTCTTCACCATACTCAACTCCCATTGCAGATGTATAAAAGGTCAGTGATTCTGTGACTAAAGTTAAAGTGGTTTAATGTGCTGGAGACGCTCTTGAACAGATGATACTACTGTTTGGAATTTTCCTCGTTCCCAAGAGCCATTGCATGTTAAGACACAAATCACTAATATTCAATTCTATATTTTAGATTGGGTGACCCTCTCATTGGTGCCCACAGGTGCGTCTCAATGAGGTCCATCTCAGTTGCCCATACCCCCCATTTCTCTCTCTCTCTTTGTCTCGTTCCCTTTTCTTCTTTCTCACATATCATCTCCACTGATGAACACTGGTGAGACCTCACTTAGAGTATTCTACGCAGTACTGGAGACTGTATTTTCAGAAGGATATTGATACTTTAGAGAGAGTTCAGAGAAGGACTACTAAACTGGTTCATGGATTGCAGGATAAAACTTACCAGGAAAGTTAAAGGATCTTAACATGTATAGCTTGGAGGAAAGACGAGACAGGGGGGATATGATAGAAACATTTAAATACATAAAGGGAATCAACACAGTAAAGGAGGAGACTATATTTAAAAGAAGAAAAACTACCACAACAAGAGGACATAGTCTTAAATTAGAGGGACAAAGGTTTAAAAATAATATCAGGAAGTATTACTTTACTGAGAGGGTAGTGGATGCATGGAATAGCCTTCCAGCTGAAGTGGTAGAGGTTAACACAGTAAAGGAGTTTAAGCATGCGTGGGATAGGCATAAGGCTATCCTAACTATAAGATAAGGCTAGGGACTAATGAAAGTATTTAGAAAATAGATGGGCCGAATGGTTCTTATCTGCCGTCACATTCTATGTTTCTGATACTCTTGTCCTTCAAGCTATTTTACTCACTCACCTTGCATAACCCTAATAGCAATCTGGATTATCTATTCTGCTCCTGGCCTCTCTTACACTTTAGCATCAACCTGACTCACTCTGGGCCTACACTTTAATCTTATTACAGGTAATACACAATCTCTTAGACTCCTAGGATATCGCAAACTGAGTTGACTTATGATACTCCTGGAATGGGTGAACAGAGGAGGGTGAACCCTTAGCAATGTAAGGGGTTCTCATGTCTTACTAACGTTAAAATGACCTAACTCCCTGCAGGGCAAGAGTAGACATGTTTTAATTTTTGTTAAAATTGTTGTCCTGTGTAACACCTGTTTGGAAAAGCTTAAATTCTACATCGATAAACACTCGAACAAGACATGTTTCCTTTTCCCCTAATCCTTGTCAAAAGATGCTGCGAATGCTGGCTAGGGAGTATAAGAATGGAATGACAAGAGGCATGTTGGCAATGAAGCCTATGTAATGGTGGCACTGAGGAGGTTTATCATGCTTGGGGATGTGTTCCCAAGCAAGGGAAATCAGTGAACTGCAGGGAAGAAGCAAGGGCGGACTGGAGGTTGGTGCTACAGAAGTGTAACTCACCTCTCTAATGCGATAGTGAAGGGGGAGCAGAGGCCGAGATGAATGGTTACAGTTTCCCTTTAAGGCCAAACTAGCTGAATTAGAAGCATTGCTCACTTGGAGAATTTTTCCAGTTAGGCTATTTTTGCCTTTCAAAATTTGAAATTCACTTTAAAATCACTCTGAGTTCAAGACAATTCTTACTTGGATAGATAATCATTAAAGAAAAGTTCCTGAGTGCCTGATTTATGGTTAAAGCTGTAGTTACATATGGCCACAATTCTTAAAATAATCCATTATGTTTGCTGTAGAACTACCTGTTTTTATGGATTCCAAGTCATTATTTTGTGTTTGCTGTAATGCTAATAAACCATACTCACAAAAGTCTTAGGATTTTCATTTTACGTGCTGTTATGCTAAACAACTTGTTACACTGGGATTATTAAGAAACACACTATTTCATAAACTATAGATAAGAAGAAATTATGTTATATTGAGCTAAATGATTTATTACTTCTTATCATCTGGATACAGTTAAAGTCAGTTAATAATTTATAAGAAGTTGTAAACAGTGGTAACTTAAGAGAAAGTGAAAGCAAACATCAGAAGTCTTGTGATTTCTCAGAAGTGACACATTAAAAAACACATATATTCCCATCTCTTCCCCACAAGGAAAAATAATGTTAGATTAACACTTACTATTAAAGATGACCTTAAAGAGGCCACTAAAGTCACCCAGACCACTTCAGTGGCTCTCTGTAGTTGTAACCCTGAACTGTAAAACGTTGCAGTTTTTCAGGGTTAACCTTAAGGACAAATCTGATCCTCCCGCTACTTATTGAAACCCTGTGAAGGTGGAGCATGTCGATATCATGTCGGAAATGTGACAGACACACATTCACTGACAGACAGACACACTGACAGACATATACCCATTAACACATTCTTGCACTCACATAATTTAATTATTGCTTCTTACCTTTGGGAGCTGGTGTGAGCCCTCTTTTATCCGGAGCTCAGCCTTCCTGGTCTTCACTGCTCCCTTAGTGACATCATATTCCGGCACCCGGCATCACTACAGACCGCGCGCGAGGGAGCAGTGAAGAGCAAGAAGGCTGAGCTCCCTCGCTGCCGCCAGGAACCTCTCCTCCCCGGCCGGGTAACTTTTAGCAGAGTAGGCACCTGCAATGTGGAGAAAGCAGGTGCCTACTCTGATTTAACACTAAGCATGCACTTGTGGGGGTAATTCTCATTCCTGGGCTACCATACGGTCTCAAAGGCAACATAACTAATCTGAAAAATGTGAATAAACTGAAAAATTTAACAGTCTATATTTGACCCTGTAACTTTCCAAAATACCATACAACCTATATATAGGGGGTACTGTTTTACTCGAAAGACATCGCAGAATACAAATATGTGTACTTTATTGCAGTAAAAGCAAACAGTATTATGACATTCACAGTTAAAATGTCATGCAGAACTAAGAAAATAAGATTTCTTAATTTCTCACATTTATTTATATTTTATTCAAATTAAATTATGTTTCTTATATAAATATTGGATGTGACATGGAAGCCCTATTTCTCTTGAACAAATGCTCCACCCCAGGGGCCCATAACTAAATATTCATTTCAGTTATATACACACAGAAACACACACTCCCCCTGGGGTTAAAAATCATATGCCTCTCTGAACAATTCAGTCGAAATATAAACTCCCTCACAGACCACCCCATTCACCTTATCACACCCCCTTTTCCCCCTCTTCTTGATCCTCATTGTGTGAAAATAACAATAACTGTGCAAGACATACTCCCCTGGCTTTGCAACCTAAGGTTTCCCCCGTTTCACCTGGCCGTTCGTCAAAATCCATTCCCTTAAGTGGTTCCCACGGTTTTATGCAGCAACCGAACAAACTACTGAACGGAAGACCACCAAGCTATGGACTGTGCTGCTCATTAACTCAGTTCACACCTCCATAAACCGCAATCACACGAACGTTCTAAGCGGACGGCTGGGTGGTCGCCGTTCGTATAAACGAACACGTGGCGGCGGCCATCTTGGGACACAAACAAAGGTAGCTGTGTTTGGTTGTCGAGTGCATGCAACTAAAATCAGGACACTTGACGGTGCGAACACCGCTGGGACTTCCACCTCTACATAAGTTCACCTAGAAGTGCACGAACAAAGCACTATTCGGTAGAAACAATCTACCGAACCAGATACATCCAATGAAGTTATGCACAAACGGATTTGTTCGTGAAATTTACACATTATTTGACTGAGAAGATAGACCGGCCGCACAGCCTAATTCTCTGGAACTCTTTTGGGAATTAAATCATGCGTGCGGTCGGTCAAAAGTGACTTCCAAGTAGTTTGTGAACCCTTGCTCTGATCTGGGTGATTTTTGGATATGTTGTTCACCCAGATCAGAGCTATCCAGGGCCATTTATGGGGATATGTCATGTTTTGGGGGTACTTCTGGAATCTTGTGAAATATGTGGTTCTCCTCCCTGGAGATAATTGAGTTATTACATCATCTACCTCAATTATCTACCAGGCAGAGGAAGGGCTTGTACATACTGTATGGGAGTGTCTCTATGTATAACATTGGTCTGTTCATTGGTCTGTTAACTTTGTGTCTCGGTGCCCCACAAGGTCCACCAGGGCGGTAACCTTGTGGGGTAAATCACATAAAAGGCAGTGTGCCGCCATTAAAGTTCAGTTATTCCCCCAAAACTGAGTGTTGTCCAGTTACTGGGGAGGTGTTGGGAGAATACTGCCTTGCTGTATTTAGCTGTTCCTGTGAAGCATTTTCTTTGTTCCTGAGTTCATCTTGGAGAAACCAGCGGAGAAAAGTCCCTGCTAAGACTAGCGCACCGCTACAAGCGCAAATTCCAGGTTTTGTTTACATTTTGTTTTGATCACAACTTGTACAACTGCATCAGTCCTTAAGTGATTATATTGAAATTGAAAAGAGTACAGCATCTCATTAAGCAATGTCAATACATTATAAAAAGGACTTTCAGTGTTTTATTCAACGGTGTAAATTCCAGTGGAGTAACAACTTCCTTTTCAAAATATGTATGAGCAAGCCTGCATGAATCATTTCTTTACTTCAGAAAGCCTAAGGGATTAAAAGAGCTACACCTGGCAGTGTTGTCTCATTTATAATAAAATATTAAATCAGTGTCTACTGTACCAAGCTGCTGGGACCATTCGCTGAAAAACAGGGCTCTGCTTGGTATCTTTAAACTGTCTCCTCTACAGCCACATTGATAATGCAGAAACTACAGAGCCACATTATCAAGTGGCAACCAGCCTTAGTGGTAATGCAAGGAGTGCAGGAGGTGGGTTACGGGTTAGCCCCACTCTTCCAGCCTAGTGTTGTGTCCAGGGTGAATAGAATCAGACTAGCAGTGTGCCTGCACAGAAGGTGAGCCATGGGCACCAGGGAGAGTGCTGTTTTTTGTAAATCAATCCAAAAAAACAGTTTGACAAAGAATGATTGATGGTGCATAGACGTATTTGCAAAAGTACAACTTTTGGTACTTGTGTGCCCCTTTAAAATTAATTGTTACTTCTTGGCATATACTAAGTAGAGCAGAAATGGAGATTGTCTGAGCCTGTAGTTTTATTGCATTGACCAATGACAGGTAAACTGGTCTTTGACAAATCCTATACCATGACCTTACGGTATAAAATACTAACGTTTAGGGAAATGAAAACTAAATTGCGAACTTTAGGGCAAATTTTCAGAACTTGAAAAATTATCTAACTGTGTTATAGTCATAGCTTGCACTTGTTTAAACTTTACAGACTGGATTCCAATTCACAACAATCAGGCCCACCCTTTCCATTGGGCCACTGGAGGTGCAGAACACCCACTTGATCAAACTGACCACCTGGAATCATCATGCTCCTGTCTCTGAAGAAAGGTAAGGGGAGAATACATTATTTTTTTTTAAACCCCGTTTAAACATGCAACATAAATATACTTACTACAGCACAAATAGTCTCGTCCTACACACACTGTATGACATACAGCTCCAATACACATACACTATCCCATAAACAATCCCACCGCCACACATAAACACACATCCATTACCACACATGTGAACCCTACACTACAAAACACACTCCCAACTCTGGGAGGGAGGTATGTAACCAGGATGGGTGAAGGGTGAGGCGTGAACCAATAAAGGTCAGGCCTGCCTGGAAAGTGGATGTGCCAGCCAAAAGAAGAGCAGTGTCAGCCTTACATCAAGCACAACCGACTGACAAACAGCCTCCTGGATGGCCCCTACCCTACAGGACCAAGCAGAGAGCACTGCAAGGTAATTAAGTTCTCGGGGCAAGTCTTTTATTTGCACTACCCCCCAAACCAGTTACAGGCCCCTGACAGATTACAGGTCCCTGGCCATGTATTATTATTAACAATAATATTACATATAGTTACATAGCTGAAAAGAGACTTGCGTCCATCAAGTTCAGCCTTCAACACATATGTTTTTTGCTGTTGATCCAAAAGAAGGCAAAAAACCTAGTCTGTAGCGCTTCCAATTTTGTCACAAACTAGGAAAAAATTCCTTCTTGACCCCAAAATAGCAGTCAGATGTCTCCTTGGATCAAGCAGCTATTACCCCACTAATTAGAAATGATATCCCTGTATGTTATGTTTTTGTAAGTATTTATCCAATTGCAGTTTAAACATCTGTAATGACTCTGACAAAACCACCTCTTCAGGCAGAGAATTCCATATCCTTATTGCTCTTACTGTAAAAAAACTTTTCTTTGCCTTAGATGAAATCTCCTTTCTTCCAGCCTAAATGTGTGACCTCGTGTCCTAAGTATAGCCCTGTTTATGAATAGATTTCCAGATAAAGGTTTGTACTGGCCCCGAATATATTTGTATAAACTAAACAGATTTA